TTGCAGCATCTCTTCTATGAATCAACATAACCTTACTGTGGGCAAAATCACATGTTAATTTTTAGGAGAGGAAAGATCTCAAAATTTAAGTTTTACCTCAGAAGCCAGCCACCACAGAATTTTTCCATGGTGAGTCAACTACACTAACCAGCAATTCCCCAAACAATAAAAATATGAGCATGGAACAATGAAGCTACCTTATCTCTGGGTGCTTGCTTTAGTAAGGGAAATTATTACAACATACACTGGCTGATATTACCTATGCAGCTATCCACTAAGAGATTTAATCAGATTTTCCTGTAGTCTACATATCACCAACAGACTTGTTAGCAACAAAATTCTTACTAATGCATGAGCCGGAAAGGGCACAGCCTGTTGTTCAGCTTCTAGGGGTGAACTGTGGGATGTGGCAATAAGGAATATGGGAAAAAAAAAAAAAAACCACCCTAACAAATTCTGCTCAGATTTGAAAATGATAACTAACATTTGTCCCCACACCACCAACTTTTTGGTATTCAGTTTTCTGAGAATACCACTTTAGCTCCAAAGAAACACAAATCCAGCTCTCTAAAGAATTAATATATCATAGAAGCAATAGGTTCTTTTGTTTTGAGATACAGCATCTTCTGCCTTCTGAAAACAATTATTCATTATTCTTACTTCCCTTTGTGTTTGCTTGTTGTATTCAAGTTATAGTTTTTTTTAGTTATGCAAGAAGAAAAAAATGAAATAAATCAACACAAAAAAAAGAAAAAAACCCCTTGAATTGTGGTCAAAGCACAGGTTTTGCTGGTTTAGAAAATGTTAGTGAGTGTTTGAGCTCTCCTATATAGTTGAAAATTCTGAGTAAACTTCTCAGAAATGTCAGTAAGCTAGACCCACAGGGCAGATTTTTAAAGCACCCAGTTCCTACATGTCTGGTTTCCCTAACAAAATCTACCATGCTGCGCTAAGCACTTAAGCTGCAATGGGACATCTGGGAGCACGTTGCTGAAAATGGGATTATCAATTGCTGGAAAGCTGATCTTGAGCTACAAAAATATTAGGTAACGGGAAATGTTGAGAACTGGCTGTGATTTAACTCTCTTTCCTCTTAGGATTAGATGACTGCTTATGGATATCAAAGAAATGGCCACTTCCAGTTCCAATACACAGCTCAAGTGTCCTTGAATTACTATGCAGAAACATCTGAACAACTTTATGAATAAATAGAAGTCAGTGAAATTACACACTGGAATCTCATTCTAGGTGAATTTTGTAGATTACATGTTAGACTACCACTAAAATGTATGTGTGTGTATGTTCCCATTCTCCCTCATCCCTCTGTGTATTCCCCACCGTGAACTTTTTCTTTCATTCTGGTGTTGACCCGGTCCTATTCTGAGCTGCTTCATCTTTCCCATTCCGTAATAAAAGACCTTTCTCTGCCAGGACACCATGACTCAATGCTTGTATAGATCTACATTCTTGCATTCTTTCTATGCACTTGTGGTAGGAAAAAAAAAAAAAAAAAAAATCTTTCAAAGGGACAGCACAGTTGGAGCCAGTCCAGCTTCTTCAGTGAAATGGCTTAAGGGGTAAACACTTTATCAGTAGTGCGAAGTCTGAATTCAGTACTCTTCCTTAGCCTGAAAACATTAAAATCCACCTTTCTTAATCACTAGAATGGTGGAACTTCCCCATCGACTCAAAATTGCACCAATATAATAGCAAATATAAAGGACTACTCTAACTAGATTACATGATCCCACAGGCTTATAAGTGGGGCAGCGTTTCCACAAAAAAACAAACACCAAAAAAAAAAATCAATTTGTCAATCTGGGTTTAAGTTACTTAAGCAACTTAGACACTTGAAAATTCTACCTGCATCACCAATGCAAAGATGTGACAGAAAAATTATGGTCAATCGTTTATACACAAAAATATGCATGTGACTAGATGAGATTCTACTTTGACGTTTATATTAAAAAATAACACTCTTATTTTAACAGTTTATGAACTTCATATTCATTTGGTGCTCCCTTTTCCCTTTAAAGGAACAAAACCTTCTGAAATGCCAAACGAGTTTAAAAGAATTAATGCAGATGAAAATTCTCTCTCAAGGACAAGTGGCTTGTGGGTTGATGTGGGGAACTATCTTTGCTTGGAACTATAATCAAAAAGAGGTACTCTGACACACTGACAAATGCATTGTGTGGAATAACATCATGATTTTCTGCACAATTGATTTATAAAAGGTTATGCCTAGTGCATATACACAAAATATATATATTAGAGCCGGCAAAGGATTTTGTTCCATTGGATTGATATTACCATAAATCTCCTCTTCATCAGTTATTGTTTGCACTGACATTTAATATGTCATTTGTAAGGACTCCCTGCTTCTATCTGGCACTAGTGTTTGCCAGAGTGGCATTCAGACATCTCTGAATACTGAGGGCCACCCAGCAAACAAAGACTGTCCCAGAAAGGGGCTAATCAAAGGAATCTTTCAGTTTGTAATTAAATTGACAAAAAAATATTAATTACCTACACCATAGCTACCTCTTTTTTCCATGTGCTTTTCCCAGTGCCTTTTCTGTTACTGCTGGGCTGGGTTGGTCTGTTTCTTCATTCAATATACAATTATTTCCACCACCACTTTACACAGGGCTACAAGAACTTACAGAAGTTTTAAGCTCTACAAGTTTTAAATCTTGTAGCCAGTAGCGTAGACAGACATGCTAAGATTTCACCAAATGTATCTTTTCATTAAAAATTACATCTGCTGGTGGAATAGGCTTTACTGTTTGACAAATGAAAAAAAAAAAAGTTTCATAAACTGTAAGTGAAACCTGAAACAAAAAATTGAGAGGACTATTGTATGATGCATCCCCAAGTTTTCAGGCCTAAGGCTTAAAGTAGATCTGACTGGGGAAAAAAAGAAGTAATTTCTTAATTACAACCAAGAAACATATGGTACATATGATTAAATTCATTCACACACATAAATAGTGTCCAATTCCATAACTGCTCTGACTCGCTGTGCATCCTACAAGCTAACAAGAAAAGATAAAGTATTTCATGATTTTCCTGACACTATGCTTTTGAACCTCCTGATTGCCAAGAACGTGGTCTTACTAACAACCATTATGTCGCAATTTATAGCAGATCCCTTATATACATGTGTATACTTTTTAAAAAGTTACATGAATGTGTTAGAATACTGCATTCTTGCTGCCTCTGATATCAACTTTTAAGAAGGGCAAAAGAACACCTATGAAGTAAAAGCCAAGGTGATAGTAGTTTGGAAGAAATCCAAATATTCCTAACTACAGCAAATTTGCCGGTGCTGCTACACAAAGTCAATGATCATTAGCAGAGTCAGATGTTTGGAAAAACTTCAATATGAAAACAGGGTCAGTGTAAAAATCGAGTAACCTAGTACATACTCTTTTTTTAAACTTTCCCTTTTTAAAATGGCATAGCACTTCACAGTATTTCAATGTAGCAAATATAATTATTTCTTTGAAAAGCCTCATGATTCTGCTTTTTGTCTCACTATGTGTGAAAGGAACATGACCACCACCTAAGCTGGTCTGTCATCTTCATACAGACAGATATTCACAACACAGCAAAGATATAGATACATATGGATAGAACACTAATTTTAAATGTCTAGGAAACCAGATTATCCTGAATGGTTAACATTTTACATTCCAAATGCAAAGCTAATGTATTAAGGCTATTACAATTCTAGATGCTATAAAATGGTTTCAGTAGAATGGTCATGTAAATTGAAAAGAAAACTGATGTCTCTTCAGACTGGAAATTGAGAGAAAATTTGCCCCCAGATGAGAAATTCCCTATCCAGTCAATGCATCTGTCAGTCAAACCTGTTTCTTCCTAGTTACATGTTTTGAAAGAGCAGGGATATAGGTCATTGTTGAATGCTAGCAAAATGAGAAAGCAGCTCTACAGATGAGTCTTAACCTGTCTGCCAGTTTGACTAATCTGAATTATTTGTTCAAAGATATCCTTCTGTTCATCTGTACTCTCCATTAGCAACAGAAATTCTAATTAAATTACAGAATGTAGGAAATGTATGGCCCTCACTGATGCAATAGCTACGTTTGTCTAGCACACAGTGGTAGAACTCATTAATCTGAAAAAACATAGTTAGAATAAAATGAACACATTCTCTCCTCATCCATTTCTCTTGAGTACAGCAAGAAAACTTGATTTGAAGATGCATAGCTTTGGTAACTGGCTGCTTAGCATGGCTCTTTACAGACATCACACACTGATGCAACAGTGGAAAGGACTGAAAGATTGCTCAGTATGAATACATAGAGCCTATAGGCCTGCGTAATATGGGACACTCAGGAAAATTAATTCTAATTGATTTGTAGACTGGAGTAGTTAAAAATCAAAATATTCCTTTGTCAATATTCTCACAAGAAATTAAGAAGCCAGTTTAACTTATTTTAGGTTAATTCACTTCACTTGCAGCCCTGCAAGTATTTAACATTGTTTAAGTGATCCCCTGTAAAACTCACACTTTTGGTAATTTAATTAAATTTACCTGAGTACCTAAGTATAGACAAGACATTAAAAAGGAAATGGTCATTAACTACCACTTCTTTGTGAAATACAAAGGATGCAACTTATCTAGCTTTGTTTAATCATAGACATCCTCAGTTAATGAATAAAGGCTCTGATGTACTTAGTTGAAATGCAGTCCCGCATGAATTCTGTTCAGCTGAGGGAGAAAGGAGAGGGAAGTCACCTCTTCTTCTACAGAAATGACCAAATGAGTTATGATCAGGCACATATTACTGTATCTGCCAAAGAACATATACATGGAACATGAGAATAAACTTAAAATAAACTGCACAACTCTATGAAATGTTCAATTTTTATATTTACACTATAATTAGTACAAAATTGCCTTTTAAGTTTTCTGTAGCACAAGACAGTATCTACTGGACTTGATACCCTAATATGTCAAAACAACTACTTTGAAGTATGATAAAGGAATCTAGGAAGAGTTATAAAGAATAAGACACCATTTTCAAACTATACATAGTGTTTGCTTTTGCTTCTAAAAAGGTACTTATATCCCCAAAAGGTTTTTAATTTTAAATAAGCAGGGCAGGCAGGGAGGGGGTGGGGGGGAAGACTGGTTGTTGGTACTAAAACCTTTACTGTAATAAACTAAATATATTTACAATTTATACAAACGTTTGACCTTCAACAAAAATACAAAAACATATCACAAGATGCAAAACCAGGAAACAAGTTCATCTGAGACACCACTGCTCTACACAGGACAGAATGCAACTTGAACCGCAAGGAACAGAAAGGTATTTATCCCCCATATTCAGGCAATGAGAACAATTTGCATGAGGTCACAAAGAAAGAAAAAAATAAAAGGCTCCAACATTCTTCAGTAGACTTGGCTTTTAAAAACTATGTCAAAAACCTAGGCTACATCTGTCCATCTTGCCTCAGTGTTCCGTTTGGTCCACGTAGCCAATATTTAGTTGCTGGATGTTGCCTTCTATTTTGAAAAATCGGAGTAGTTTCATGGCAAGGTCTGGAACCTCAATACTTTTGTTCCTTTTTAAAAGGCAAAACCTTTCTACTTCTATAATTAAGAACAATTTTGGCCCAGTTCAACTTCTAAAAGTTATATCCCCATCATATTTTTCAGTAGATAACTTCATAGACTGTAGCCTTTTTGTCTCCAGAGCCAGTGACTATGTACTTATCATCCACAGAGATGTCACAGCTAAGCACTGACGAAGATTCTTTGGACTAGAAGAAAAATAGAAATATATTACATCATTTAAAAAAAGCCTGTTACCCTCATCTCAGCATCCCATTTTGGGTAGATCACATAGGTGAAGATATCTGAGTCCACTCTTGGGACTCTGGGTGTTCTAGTTTTTTCTTTAAAAGCATCATCATCCTCACCTGGAAGATACTGGCTCCGTAAGGAGTTCTCCATGCATTAAGAAGGTTATCTTTCCCAGTACTCACAAACCATTTACCTAGAATATAAAACAGAAGGACTATGAAAACATATGAAACAGACATCTGACAGATTTTGGGTTTTCAACTCGCATCTATGAAATCTGTTAACTAATTACCATTATAAAAGCTCACACCACTAATCAACATAGTACTCTTGCCTACAACCAATGTGGACACTCATGCTTTTGCAGTGTGTTACATACTAGGAAATCCCTAGACTCTGTAAGTAGAAATAGCTTTTTACACACAAATCAACCCTCACAGCAGCCTTTAGACAAACTGATGGTTGGTTGTAGATAAATATGTTTGAATTCATGAAGCAGAGATATTTATTCATAACTTAAGAAACTGAGATACTAAGTAAGTTTTGATTATCAAATGAGCTATGACTATATAGTAACTAATCAGCAAAGCATGAACTAGGGCCCTGACCTCCAGTTCTGTGTGCAGGGCAACTTACCACAGTAAGCAAATTTGAGTGACAATACGCAACTCTCATGAAGGTGCAGTTGATATTTGTCTGGTTTGTTTACATGTAGCACTTCTACGTTGCTGCTTTCCATTCCCACAGCTAGCCATTCACCAGTAGGACAATAACCAAGGGAAAATATCTGAAAATTAAACCACATTTACACTTTTTGTTTTTTTCTACAGATACACTTCTTTTTTTTCCTACAGTGGTTAAATTAATTGGGAGAGGGAGAGAGAGAGAAATCTGCCAAGTAAAATTCACATAGTTCAATAGCAAGGCTGCTGTTCAAAATACAGGTATTCAAAATAACCCCTGTTCTTACCTATTAACTTAGAAAAATAGAAGAGAGAGTAGTGTCAGGCTATCATTTTATTCTGGAAACTAAACATAGGAAAGCTCCAAAACACGGTGTTGTGAGCAGCCAAAAAGAAGAGAGGGAACAATCTCCCAGTTGCACTGGGCTCAATCTAGTTTTCATCCTGAATGTTTCCCTCCCACTGCACGTCCCCCCCAAGGTGTGGGAAAATCCAGTTACCTGTGATGTGAAGTCGTGCTGTTGTAGCTGTCTCCCCTCTCTCAAGTCCCAGGATCTGACAGTGTTATCCAAACCTCCTGTCCAGAGCTTGGTACCATCATTAGAAATGTCAATACAGCTGGCTCCGTCTGTGTGGCCCTGGAATTGCCTGATAAAACAAACCAGATTGAATAATGATTTCCTGCCAGAGCTCAAGGTAAACACTGTTGTGGTGTTAGTTTTGGACTCTGTATGTGTATGTCATCTCTTCTGTGCCTGCTAATGGGCAAAAATCAGTCCCTCCCTCTTACCGAGCATGAAATACAACAGTATTACAAAAACATTTTCCAGGTGCTAGAGAAATGAATTGCATCATGGCTAGCTGAACAAAGTCAAATATTTCCTATCAGGTTTTGAAAGGCAAAAAAAGCTTGTGAGAACATTAAAGTTCAGTAACTATAGTTAAAAGCACTAAGGACAACTCAGATTAAAACAAGTGCTGAGGGAACAAAACTCCTCCGGTTTCAGAAAACAGCTTCTGTATTTTTCTTTGGCTGCAAGTCCAGATGATAAATAATAAGCAGAGAGATTAATAGGAAGGGATCCAGATAGAGATCCAGATAGTTAAACACAAGCATTGCTGAGTCAGCAAAGTTGCATTCTCTGTGGCAGGAGATCACAAAAATCTAAACGGTGCAGTTTGTTTTAAAATCGTCTCATTAGTAATTCTCAGCTTTCAGCAATCAGAAGGTCATCTCAAGTTTTCCTGAATCCTTTGGCAAAAGCCTTCTGAGGCTCCTGCATTTTTCATCAGCAATTAGCTTTAAGAAAGTCCTATGCCTCAATGTGAAAGGTGGAGGGCAGGGGGGAAAAAGACAACTAGCTTGGGAATGAAGGGTATGAATCACTAAGAGCTGCCACAGAAAGGTCACGCGGCACATTTTATTTTGTAGCTCTGGTCTCAAAATTCCACGTGTTATCAATTAGCAAGATGAGCCATCAAGCGGTGGGAACACCTACAGCAAACATTCAAAAGACAAGACAGTCGCAGATAGAGAGAGTGCACCTTTACAGAGACTAAGCATGCATAGGGCAAACTGAAGATTTTTTATAACTAAAATCTACTTTGTTGACCTAGAAGTTCAACAGAAAGTAAAATTTGCATGCACATTAATATGACTCTCTGCACATAAGTTTAGGCTAATTATTGATATACAGCAAATTTAATTGAAACACAGCAGACTAAGCAGATTCTTCAGTGTTTGTGTTCGGAATTTTTAAAATATCACGGCCTTTCCCAGTCTAGGCTCTCTCTTCTCATAATGTATAAGCCACTACTACTTTGGTAAGCATAAACCAAGATTTATCTTCTAGTAAACCACACAGCTAGTTCTAAGAGCCATTTCACACATGGCCCTATCTTTCCTTCTCTGTCATAGCACTTTTGCTGAATATTGACCTGCCAGGCACTTTAATCTTCTACTAATATATTAATTAATCAAAGGTCTAACAAAAGATTTCAAAAATAATTTACATGGCAATCCATTCACTATACTCTTTGCAACCCGTTCTAAAAGTTTTAGAGATCAAATTCCCCCCAAAAACTCAAATACCTTTTTCTCATGAATGACCCAACATCTGTCCTTTATGCTTTCCTAAAGAACCGAGGGGATCCACACTTTCAACCACTTTTGTAAGAATAATTTATCATCACTAAATAAGAACTGAAAATTCTCTTTATTACTTATCAAGGCTTAAGACAAAGGAAGAGAACAAACCTCAGAGTTCCCTAAAAGACACTTTCAGTCTATATCAATCACACACCAGCAGAAATGCTGCCTGTAGAAACCTGCAGACAAATCCCAACTAACCGAGACCAACAGGAACTTCTACGCTGACTGCCGTAGGTTATGGACCAAGCCTTTAGGCCCTGAAAGCGCATCTTCCAAGACTAGGTTGAAGCTACCAAAACTAGTTTCTGCTCAACTTGGGTGCAATCTGCATTCTTTGGATAAGAAATACCATTTACTTTGCTGTCATTTAGAGAGATAAATATTTATGTAGCTGTCCAAAGAGCAACTTCTATTAAAGTCTTCTGTAAACAAGTAATGACTTACCTGACCAACGTCTGATTGTGCAGATCCCACACTGCGATGTTCCCATCACTGCAGCAGGAAAAGCACACCTTGGAATCAGGGCTGATAGCCAGAGCGTAGCAGGCAGGGGCTGAGGATGTCAGCTCTGCTTTTATACGAGGAGTTGGTGCTGCCAGGTCCCATATGGATAATGTGCTGGCTTCCCCGCCAACTATTAGGGTGCATCCATCAGGCAGCAATTTACAAGAGCGGATGTAGTTATCTCTGTTCTGCACAACAAAAATCACCTCAGTTATGTTAACACATGCCTGCCAATAATGACCATTAATATGATTCCGACTGCATCCAAGTTTTAAACAGTACACTGTTTTTTCCATTACCGAAGCACTGAAGAGGAACCAGCAGATCCTAAGAGGTTTCAAACACCTAGTTCTCATCACTAACGAGAGACTGCAGTTGCAGAAATGAAACTGCAGAATCCTGTTGCCACACTCTACTCTGTTTTAAACCTAATGAATGGCTAGTCTTCCATCTCATTACACAAAACCAGAGACAAAGTAAGCTTGCATTTCTGCAAGTGCACTCCATCAGGTAAGGTCACCAACAAAAGAAATATTAAAGCAAATGACCTTTCATTTGGCATTTAGGCAACCCTATATGAAAATGCATTTCAAGTCTCATGCCTTTCAGGTTTTGGAGTTTTCTTTCAAATACTATTTTGCATTCACTGTTTTAAAGTTAAAATATTAAGTATTCCCATACTGGTCCTGGATTTATGTTGGTCCTTTGTTGTTCAACATGATTCTTATCGTACTTATATTATTAGTTTCACATTTGTGATACTATTGCTGATTGAGAGGTACTACAGGGGATTTAGAGGTGGAAAACATTTCAACCTTCACTTATTACAAGCTTGACTCCTTAAGTATATTGGATGTCCATTTCTCCCTAACAGCTGCCAAATTACACGGTAAGTTCTTTAGGAAATTGACGGTTAAGATCTGTAACTCAAAACGTACAAAAACCACTGCAAGAAGTAGTCAACAGCATTCCTACTACTACTTTTTTTTTTTAATTCACAGCAAAGGAGCAGTAAGTAGTGGAAATGCTGGCTTAATTAGTCAGCCATCACTGCTCCATAATTAAAATGAAGGCAGCTAGGACTGTGCATCCAGACACATACCTGCCATAGAACAGAATACATATTCAACCATACTTTTACTACTAGACAACTAACATAAGGGTAGCAGCAAATAAAGGGTAAAGGCTAAAAAAACCAAACCAAACCAAAACGAAAACCCCACCACACTTAATTGGTTCAACATTGAATCTAGAATTGTTTTTATTCAGAATATATATTACTGTGTGTTACAACACTAAGTTGTCTTAGTTAAAATTTCACAAATGTTACCATGGGATAAAGCCCTGGAGGGAAGAGGGGCCAAGAAAGCTGGTGAACATTCAAGGATCACGTCCTCCAAGCTCAGGAGCGATGCGTCCCAACAAAGAGGAAGTCAGGCAAAAACGTCAGGAGGTCTGCATGGATGAACAAGGAGCTCCTGGACACACTCAAACACAAAAAGGAAGCCTACAGAGGGTGAAAGGACAGGTAACCTGGGAGGAATATAGAGAAATTGTCTGAGCAGCCAGGAATCAGGTTAGGAAAGCTAAAGCCCTGATAGAATTAAATCTGGCCAGGGACATCAAGGGCAACAAGAAAAGCTTCTACAGGTACGTCGTGGCTAAAAGGAAGACTAGGGAAAATGTGGGCCCTCTCCAGAGGGAAGTGGGAGACCTGGTTACCCAGGGTATGGAGAAGGTGGAGGTACTCAATGACGTTTTTGCCTCAGTCTTCACCAGCAAGTGCTCAAGCCTCACCGCCCAAGCTGCAGAAGGCAAAGGCAGGGACTGGGAGAATGAAAAGCCACCCACTGTAGGAGAAGATCAGGTTCGAGACCATCTAAGGAACCTGAAGGTGCACAAGTCCATGGAACCCAATGAGATCCATCCACGGGTCCTAAAGGAATTGGCAGATGAAGTCGCTAAGCCACTATCCATCATATTTGAGAAGTCGTGGCAGTCCGGTGAAGTTCCCACTGACTGGAAAAGGGGAAACAAAACCCCCATTCTTAAAAAGGGGAAAAAGGAAGACCTGGGGAACTACAGGCCAGTCAGTGTCACCTCTGTGCCTAGGAAGATCATGGAACAGATCCTCCTGGAAGCTATGCTAAGGCACATGGAGGACAGGGACGTGATTCGAGACAGCCAGCATGACTTCATCAAGGGCAAGTCCTGCCTGACCAACCTAGTGGCCTTCTACGATGAAGTGACTACATCAGTGGACATGGGAAGAGCTACAGATGTTGTCTATCTGGCCTGTGACACGGTCCCCCACACCATCCTTCTCT